GAGAGAGAGAGAGAGGGGGGGGGGGGGGGTGGGTAGAAAACTCATTTGATCTCCTTCCCCTGTACATTTTGAACATTCAAGAAAATTTAGACATGTAAATAGGAGATAATTTCACCACAATGAAACATTTTACTCAAGAAAAAAAAGAAAAAAAAACAGTTGAATATCTTTGATCAAAGAGAAAGTCCACATTGATGAAAGACAGCATTTAAATATAACATCACATTCATAACCTGAAGTGCAAAACATCTGAAGTAATCCAGATCATATTAGTCAATTTCAAAGTGAAAAAAGGAGTTTATAATGCATTCCATAAAGCCTAGGGTAGTATATATCAGATATCCCCTACTAGACCACTTGACAGCAATATTAGAAGGTATCATTGCATCCTTCAGTACTCCTCGGTAGATCTGTCTCGTCATGGGTTTAGGTCACAGACGGAAAGAAACTTTTGGCAAATCAATTAGTTGCTTGTTTCAAAATATACATAGTGATGTGATACACATTACTTTACTTATGCATTTGGCAAACTCTATTGCTTGGTTTCTTGCTCCCCTTCTCTCTCTCTCTCTCTCTCTCTCTCTCACACACACACACACACACTACTTGTAGATGCCCTCGAATGAGGACCTATGAAATAACTCTCGCAAACATGGACTTTTTAAATTCCTTGTAAATGCCTTCAAACATGGACTCATGAATAAGGCCGTCAAACATGGACTTGTTAAATTCCTTGTTAATTAGGCGTTTTAACATGAACGTATTAAATCCCTTGTAAAGTCCTTTGAAAATGGACTTGATAACTTTAACCCAATGAAATGGACCTTTGACATTTATTATTTATACACATACATATGTACCTCCGAATGTGGACGTACTAGTTTGGCTAGGAGGAATTAGACCACCCAGGGTGGTCATGACAGGTGGCTATCTCATCAACTCAGCTCTCGATCAATTAACATAAGAAAAAGAGGATCATGGGGGACCAATAGTCACCGATTAGGCATTGTATTCTATAAATGGGGAGCAAGTAGATACAAGTAGTACGATGGGGCTTTAAACGCCTTCAAGAATGGACTCAGTAAATAAACAGTACAAGCATGGACCTTTGACATTCCTTCTTATACATAACTTCAAACGTGGACTTGGTAAACTAGCATATTGAACGTGGACTTGGTAAACTAGCATATTGAACGTGGACTTGGTAAACTAGCATATTGAACGTGGACGTTTGACATTAGATAACATACCGGTACTGTCAAATGTGGATTTTTTAAATTAATCCAGCAACTATGGACTGCTTACTTTCCTTGTTGTTTGTTGTACATGGTACCAGAACAAAAGCAAATTATTCATAAATAACTATGTGAGCGTTATAGATGTGAAAATATATATTACTGGTATATACATTCTACTACGTTTGTCATGAAACCATTTCCGAACATATCATATTCTGCATGTTATACTACTCTACAACATAATGGACAACACGAAAGATTAAGGGTAGGCAACAATAATGGCAAATGCCATTTTTTAATCAAACAAAATATGCTTACGTTTTCATACACATAATCGTATGAAGTACATGGTCACAAGCTGGAGTACGTGATATAAAACTATCAAACACAATGATCCAAGTAGGGAACCAAATGTCAAGTTCAAAAATTTTAAACAAATTACAAAAACATGTTTTAGTAAGAGAAAAAGTGACTTGCATAACAAACATATATATAGAACTCATAATACATGTATGGAATTTCAACACAATTAAAGTGTTCCTTTGACGTAGCGTAATAGATGCCAACGTCACAAATATGCTGTCACAATTAAGACTGTTTAACAGGTGCAATGAAAGATATAAAAAAAAATTGTAGGTGACATACAATAAATCATGTACATCTTCATAATATTTCACAGGCTTCAAGGTCTGTGTGAATGGAAATTTATCTAGCATTACAAGAAATTCCTTTAAGAGCAAAATATCTTTAACAGGATTCAAGCTGAACACTAACTCGCTAGCAAATGGCTATAAAAGGCATATAACTATCGGTACAACTGAAATAATTAAGTGTGACCTCCGTTTAAAGCTGTAATTTGCATTTAGGACAATTCGTATTAATTTTCTATTTCTATTTTTTCTTGCCAAACTGCATGGATCTGATTTTGAGCGGCTGATTGACCGTTTGCAGCTATAAAACTCACCAAAGAAAATTTGTTTTCTGCCCCCAAGCCAAAACAGTCTGTCCCTGAAAGTTCAATTTAAAGTTATATTTCAGATATCTCCATGAAAAGCATGGTCTTGCTGGGCGCTTGCAGCCCTGAGTTATTGCACTATATAGGCTTACATAGTTCTCCGTTATGGGTTATAAACTCGAAGGGTTTGATTCTTTTCTTTTTGTTAAATCCTATGAACACGATCTCAATAGTTCATGAAAATTTACCTATATTTACGGATGTGCACCCTGAACCTTAATGATACCAATGACAAGGTTCAATAGTAGTAGACCAGTATACATTAACTCATAACAAGTGAATACAATAGTTCATCACTAGGTGGGAGAAGAGGCCATCAATATGAATACATTTGTGGACTGGTGTATGGTTAAATGACAACAAATTACAAACCTTACAATCACATACTCCTAATTTTCTTCTTCCACAAAACACTTTTAAGGAACAACTGGAGTTTTTACATTGTTGTACTTATACAAAAGAACTTAAACTACCCATCAATGTACCACAGGTATAACTAGCTAAACTGCTCATTGGGTAGCTAGTAACAAGTAAATATTTCATTTGGTGGCCTCAAGAATTTCATACTGTTTTTTTAGACTCGAGATAGGTTGTGACTACAAGCCTTCAAAGTAATTGTCCATCAATAGAAACTTATAAATACAAATAACAAATATGCCTAACCATTTTTCAAAATATACTGTTAACACATAACCTTTTTTGTAAATACAAACATAACACTGACAGTGGCAGATTCAGGAGTGGGTTTGGCACCCCCCCCCCCCCCTCAGAAAAAATTGTGTTTTTCAATCTTGTCTGTGTGTGGTTACAAGAATATTTTGTGTGAGCCTGAATTACACCCTTGTTGTTGTTGAAAATGTAAGAACCTTTGTATTAAATTGTTAACCCCCCCCCAAACCCCCACCCTAGCTAAGCAGGGTTAGGACTATACAGACAGAAACAAGTTCATTTGTTCCGTGTAAATCAGTCTGAATCTGTCACTGCCATTATATTTTTAGTAAAAAGAACTACATAACACATAAAAATTTTAGCCCAAAATTCTAACGTTGAAAGTGCAATAACAAACTGTATGACTTGAGTCATAGAGCATATATTGAACTACAAAATAAATGTGGGATTCACACTTAAAAAGTCAAGGAGCCAACTGTTTCCTTTCATACTGAACTGAAAGATAACATATCTCTAACAATTTTAAAGTTATTCTAGACTTATAAAATAATCTCTTTTACTCAAAATTATGGCTTTTTTATCATTAAATATACCAATTACCAAGAGATGTAGATTAGATCTGTCAATCAGAGTGAAGTAATTTTGTTACTATCAAGTTGTTAGCATTTTATCTCACTCCACAACTGTAGTATAAAGGACGTCCATATTTGTTGTAATATTTCTAAAAGCCCCAGTGCATATGAGAACCTCTTTAACAAACTTAAGATGATTATTTTCATATATATAAACGTTATAATGCGTTGACATACAGGTACTGTACATGTTTATTCTTTGCCCCTAAATCCTGGTCAGCATACTGATAAAGCTGAAAACTAGTTTACTGATTAAAAAGAAATTAAACATATATGATCCATGTGCTTTAAGTAATATAAAACGATACTTGTGACATAATTTATGTCTTTAAATTCCTTGCTCATACACAGTATACATACAGTCTTCATTTATACCATATTACATCTTGAAATCTACAGTGCTTAAATCAATTGCATCAATTAAATGAGGTGAATTGCTATTAAACGCATTTATCTACACAAAATAATGTTGAAGTCGTACATATATTATGTGGAGAGGATTTATATAACTTTCATTAAAAACCAAATGATGAAACTGTTAGGGAACATTTGTTTCTTTCATACTGATCTAGAACAAATGAAACCATAATATACAAATTTAGATTTCAAGTGAAGAGCATGAAATATTCTATATACCTATAATTATTGCTTCTCTTATATGAAGTTCCCATCCATCACCCTTCATATAATGAATGGGCAAAGTCATGTCACCAAGTTGCTGAATTAACAGTTTTTCACTCGATAGCTTTTTACTTCAATAGAGCTACACTACATGAACTTCCATACCGACTGTAGATATTTTACATAAACAAAAGGAAATCTATTTGTTGGTGCAACATTTCTCGAAACCCAATTAAATGTGAATACACATTTTCAAAGTCTCAACTTCAAATAGAATCACAAAAGAAACAGGACATACAGACTACTTCCATAATATGAATCTTTCACGTATGAACTAAAGTAATCAATGAAATCAACTGAGGGTATCCCACATTTAACTAGTGACTGCATTATCTACTCCAAAAAAATCAACAATAAATTTTGTCTTTAGGGTTTGATAAAATCTCATAATGCATACATGAGCAGCATTACAATACATTACACATTTCTCCTGTACATGTATATCATCAGTTCTGAACCTAAACCTTCATGTATGAACTTAACAAATCAATTCCAAAAGGGAGGAGGGAGAAGGGATCTTGCCGAATTTCAAGTCAGGCAACAAACATATCTTTTTTCTGTCTAACTTAAGTGCCCCAATTATTTTGCATATATGTACAAGCACACAATGATAACAAATCATTTGGCAACAGCCTGACACGATAAGTCCATTGCCACATCCCCCTCCCCTCCCCTTTTGGGAGAAATGTCACAATGTCTACAGGTATATATAATATGTATCATGATGAGCATTCATAAATGTACTTTACATCTTCAAGAATCCCATTACATCCTTCTTCCGAATCTGGTTCGAACGAAATCTTTCACGTTGGTCCAAGATCGATCCCGAAAGGTTTGTGGCTCTGCATTGAAGAGTTTCAAAATATGTGCCTTTCCTGGTAGGGTACGTCTTAGGAGAAATGAGCCCAAATGGTCTGCGACAGTTGTCTTCTCTTTCAAAGTCCAGACTTTCCTGATTGGATGATTCTCAGAAGGACTTTTTGATTTCCCAGAGTAGGCACTACAGTCTGTTTACCAAGGAGAATATATATCTTTTAAACCTTCAATCAGAAAATATATTTCATTTTGAGACAAAACAGCACATATAGCCCTACGTCCATGCCTTTGGCTCCCAGATAGAATAGAGTGAAACTGTCATGAAACATAAAACTAGAACTACATGTATACATTATTCAAGTGAAAATACCCAGTACCATTTTTTGGTGGAAAATAATATAACCCTACATGTTGTATTAACAGGAAATCTCTCTCTCTCTCTCTCTCTCTATATATATAATATGTGAAGTATATGTGAAGAAAATATGCTTCGGTCGATTCATCAAGTACTGGGTGTTCTATTTTTGTTAGGACAAATAATGAAACGTTCAAATAGTGCAACTGCATTCTAACAATCATAATTCAATCAATCAAAGCAGCCCTGACTCAAAGAAACTATATGCACCACTGGCTTTCAGCTACTGACTAGGATTTGACTTTCTCTTGTTTAACATACCTTCTGTCCTCACAGTCACCAAAGGTGAATCATCAGACTGCACATCTTCACCCTCAGAATCTGACTCGGCATCAGTGATGTACTCTACAAAAAATCAAAAGAAATATTTATAATTAGCATAAGTTATGTTATATCAGGCCCTTAACAGTGTTTTTATGTGTATACAAATATTCTGAAAAAGTATTTTTCTACATGAAAGGAATTAGCCTCATAGAATTATTTAGGACAAACTAACAACAGGAATGAAATTCATGCATGTCTTATATATAATTAATTTAGTTTCAGTAATAAACATTTTAATTCATTATGAACACAACATGGTTCGACATGATTACAATGCTTAGCTCACGACAGATGCATGCAGATTTCTCTCTCTTTCAATCTTTTGGACATCTATCAAACAGTCTTGCACAAAATCGCCAATTATGCACCCCCCAAAATATCTTAATTATTCATCTACTTTTTTCTTTGTTAAGGGTCCTACGGTTCTGTATCCCTTTTTATAAAGATATATTGAATATGAAAAAGAAAATCAAATTTATTAGTTTGAAATTGCTGGAATATACATGTTTATGTTCAATACATTGTTGTTGTGTTTTTTCTGTTACTTTGATTGCTACTATTATGTACATGTATTCATGAAGGACACCATGGAAGAACAGCGGTATTATATTGATACTCAGCTGGAATGGGCCATCCGCCATATTTTTATTCAATTTACACTATGTATTATGTATTATTGATTTATGAAAATAAAAGCAAACAAAACCTGCACGTTTTTCTACTCTAGTTGTTCTTTGCAGTTTGCATGAAGAATTCAAAAGAAAATATTATGCACTTTACCTTCACTGGGATCCAACTGCACTTCCTCTAGTCCTTTATTGGCAAGACCTTCAAGATCTCCCCTCTCCATCTTCAGAAGAACTTTTGAAACCTTCGCCAGTTGCACTGTTGAATCTGGGAGTCTATAGTATTCCCGATGCGTTCTGATGTCATGCCCAAGGAAATTAGCTAAGACATCTAGCTCATTTTCCTTTAAATTCATAATCTGGGCTACAGTGGCAATTTGCTTTCTCAGATGTGTTGCTCTGAGATGTTCTGGATGTTCAGCATTACATTTGGTGGAATGAACACGGATAGCATCGCATGCTCTCCGGTGCCCTTCCCCTGATCCAGCAAACACATATGTGTTGCTCTCCTCGATGCCAGCCTCACATCTCCTCTCTTTCAACAAGTCCATTGCCCTCTTCATTGTCGTTGTCAAAAGTACAGGCACCGTCCTCAAACGTTTTCCCACGATTTCGACTCTCCATAGAACTCGACAAAGTGCTCTCTCCCACTTGCTGAGAGCACCATCAATTATACCACCTTCTCCTTGCGAGCAATTTTCATAATCTTGCATGGTCATTTTTGAGACCTCTCCAGGTCTTTTCCTGTTGAAGACAACAATATGTGCCAGCAGTACTTCAGAAAGATTATGCCATTCATGTGCAATTCTGTTGGTGTTGCTCTCTTTCTCAAGCCCATTCAATTTTGCATGCATTTCTCCCTTGAGATGTTTCGCAAATTTGACTACATCTTCGGTAAGTGGCAACAACTTTGGGTTATTTCTTCTTCCTTCTTGAAGACTTCTTAGTGCATGGTGAGTTACATAGCTCCCCCATTGAAGGTCATACAGGGTCAAGAACGCCTTGCAACTTTTCTTGATGGCAGAGTTCTGCGTCATAATGGCTTTTCCTTGTAGAATCTCGCAACAAGTCTTCAGACCGTGTCCGATCTTTAATGCAAGACTGGGGGTTTTGTAGACATTGTTTTCAGCACAAAATCCTGCAGCCAGTTTTGTAGCAGACGTCACTGCAACAAACTTCTCAGGACGTATGAGACTTGCAAGATCGACATTGGTCTCCCCTGTCATTGATCTGTACTCGAGGACCATTCTTCCTAGCTCCTTGACCGTTGCCTGATATAGTTCTCTTGGTCTCTGCTATGTCCATGTTTCATGGTTAACTTCTCAGCAAATTTTGTTATTAGGTCATCCGACCTGACCACAGCGGCTATATTGTCATCGATCATGTTCGACAGGATTTCAATGGTTCTCGTATCCACCCCAGGAGTATTTGGTAGCAGCATTTTGGCAGCACGCACTTTTCCTCGTTTCTTTGTTTTCCCAGATGGTATACTATCAAGTATCTGGCTGCACTTGTGTTTCCACAATTCTGTCTTCGTGATAAAACCATAACAGTTTGAGCAGGGAACGTAATCTGATGGATCTGACTTGTCTGCTGGCCTATGAACAACAATGAGTTCTCCAACTCCCTTCTTCAGGACAGAGATATTGTGTAGGTAGTTTCCATAATTGCGCATTAGTGTCAATTGTCTCACTTTATCCTTTTGGTCTTCACTAGAAAGCCATTTCTGCACCTGTGGTTCGTTTCTGTGTTTGGGAGTTTGTAAATGGCGAGGTAATTTCTTCTGAGGTTCCATGCAGAAAGGACAATATTGGACTTTATCCCAGCTTTTACTTCTTCCATTTGCTGTGGCATTCACTTGTATCCCTGAAGACCTACTGCAGGCATGCAATACTGCTTTTGAGGTGCTGTCTACATGATTCTCACTGGTTGATGCTTCATCTTCATGAGTGGGTAGACAACCACGATGAATATTAAAAGATCCAGGGATAGGAACGACAGGACTCATCTCCCTTTCCCCAACATCATCATCAGATTCCGGTATGTAATCCGGGTCAGAATCATCTGTTAGATCTGTAGTAGTTTCCGACAGGTCTGACACCTCTGACATGGCCTGAAAAAAAAACAGTAAGAGAAACTGAAATTAGAGTCCATATAGAAAGCAAACATCAAATATCTCCTGCTGAATTGGTCAAATGTAAGTACACTATTAAGGCAAATTATGTTTTATAGGTCCCCTGACATGCATGTTTACTTCTATGCTGGGTCTGCATGATAGATCAACAAACCATTAACTGTTTTATCTTAATGTGTATTATGTATGTTTTTAAAGATTTTTTGTGTGCATTTTTCTAGACCCTAATTGTTAAAGTCCCACCCTGCAAAATCCTCCAGATCAAACTGTGCCTATTGTGAAGTTTTCTGCCAGCTTAGATAAAAGAGTACAATATTATACACCAATAATACCATAGGTGCATCATCAACTGGTTCTTGAGATAATGTGATCACAAGCTATTTTTGCATACAGAATGAGCCCTGTGACCTTTGACCTTGTGACCCCAAAATATAATCAGTTATTGATTTTGCGAGATACATACATTGATTTTGCAAGATACATACATGAATTAAGTTTGGCGGGAACCCATCAATCGGTTCTCGAGATAATGCGATCACAAGCTTTGTATGCATACATAATGAGCCCTGCCCCTATACAAATTTAAGTTCGTCGCGAACTCGTATTATGCTCGTGGTAAGCTTAATAAGATCGTTTTTTAGGCTTTAAGCTCGTAACACGCTTCCAGGACGCTAGTAACGATCTTACAAAATCTTCACGAGCTCGTCAACGAGTTCGTCACGAGCTCGTGGCGAACTCGCGGGTAAACTGGGCAGCTCGTGGCGAGCTCGTGGGTAAAAGGTGGAGCTCGTGGCGAGCTCGTGACGAGCTCGTTGGTAAAAGGGGGAGCTCGTGGCGAGTTCGTGGGTAAAAGAAGGGAGCTCGTGGCGAGTTTGTGGGTAAAAGGGGGAGCTCGTGGCGAGCTCGTGGGTAAAAGGGGGAGTTCGTGACGAGCTCGTTGGTAAAATGGGGAGCTCGTGGCGAGCTCGGGCGTAAACTGGGGAGCTCGGGGGTAAACTGGGGAGCTCGTGGCGAGCTCGTGGGTAAAAAGGGGGAGCTCGTGGCGAGCTCGTGGGTAAAAGGGGGAGTTCGTGGCGAGCTCGGGTTAAACTGGGAGCTCGTGGCGAACTCGGGGGTAAACTCGGGAGCTCGTGGCGAACTCAGGGTTAAACTGGTAACCCAGCCCTCTAGGGTGGACACCAAAGTTTCATAATTTTTTTAAAAATATCTATTTGATTCAAAATTGAACAATTCAATGAATTTTATATACACAATGTAGAAAGCCTTTCTTGTGAAAGATTAGAACGATTATAAATGAAGTTTCTTAACAAAATTGTATTTTGTATTTTTCATATACGGTAACGCATGTTATGGGTGGACACCAAAGAATTTTTAGAATTTCAAACATGTGCTGTTTTTTTTAACTATAACATTTTAAGCTTCATCTTTTTTAATTGATATGATCCATGGAGTTCTTCCAAGAAATAAACTGGGAATTGTCAAAGTTGTTCATATAATGTGCATTCATCATGCAGAAGCACCAAATGGAACGCGTGTTGCATGGTGGACACCATGCATAACAACTGTTACAAGATGTGAAATATGGTGATTATGAAAAAACTTTGCCACGCAACCTAAGGTTATTAATGACATGAGCATAAATAGATTCAGCACTATACCAGACAATAATTGAACATCAGATAGTCATACAAATTTAGAGAATACTCATTACCAGGAACTAGGTTTTTTCATGTCACGTTTTGGTGTACGTCCTAAAAAGGGCAAAAAATGGGTTTCACCTTACATAAAAATTTAAAACCCAGGGTTTGAAACACAACGTTAATTAAGTTATCTCCAACTATATCTGCATTAAGACATGGACAAAATTATCACCATAGAATATACTCTTTTATTTTTATACTTGGATCTGAAATATCCATGGTGAAATCTCTCCAGTATCATAAAAATACACATATGCAATTACATTGAAAGTTCAGAAAATTTATGTTGAAATTGAAACAATAGCTTTTCATGCTGAAGTAACCTGTCAAATTTCTGTAAATTTAATTAAATTCTTTTGAAACTTTGAAACATTTATTTGCAGCATACCAGATTGGGAAGGGGGGGTGCCATTTATTCTGACTGTATCATATATTTAACACCCTGAAATGTCACTATCAGGTATTACATAAGACCACACACCCAGTGCTTGATTCGAGGTCAACTCCCTGTTTCTATCTTTGCTCTCTCCTTATGTACATAGGATCCCCCCTGCTTAGACACAAATCCCTATTCCTCTCTCTCCCCTCTCTCACTTTCTTGTGTACTCTCTTGTGGAATTACCACTGGTAGCATTCCTGATAAGAATGAATTGATTTAGGCCCATTTGGTCAAGTCTTTTTCTATCTTGCTGTTGTGGAGAGCAGACATGGGTTTTGAATGGTATTGCAGCTCCTTTGTTTTAGGTAAGAGAAAAACTAATTTCTCACACCTTTTAACTAAATGTTCTATTGTGTATTTAAATAGACTAGGCCAACAGTTAGGCCTACCTCTCTTATACATTTATGAAAGAGAAGTGTAGAGTAATGATTAATGAGACAATGTATTCATTCTTTTTCTAGTGAGATATCTTTTCATATATTGGGAATTTTGTTTATCTATCTAGCACATAGCATATTCACTTCAATAAAGTAACATTAGATATCTATGTGATAAGGTTATATTCATGTAAACATTTCTGTATCTTGAATGACAAACCCTACCTTTTAGGCAACATGAGAGCACAAGAATGCATTTGGTCTGAATACTGAAAAACTAGTTTGCTAGCGGATATAAGAAGGGATTGTTCTAGAGATCCTATAGTGTACATGTATAATTACTTGGTACCCTGGGTTGGTGAATACACTGACAAAAAGGGGGAATGCTACATAGTTATTGTAGGAATACCGCTTTATTAGTTTGGATCTTTGTAATATTATGAGTGATTAGAATGATGGATAAATAATTACCAAAATGGATAATAATATTTCTTCAAAGGCAGAGTATTATACAGTGTAATTACTCACATATTTAATTTCATTATACAGTGTAATTATATAATTTGGAAATCATTTATACATTCATATTGTTGTGTGAAGTTGTGAACCTTGCATACAGGTAACATGCATTATACAGGGTTTGTATTGACTCTAATTAAGAGCTACTTGTTTTAAGTTACATTTATGTTATATCTTTTCTTTCTGTTCTTTGATATATTAGTGCTTTAATTGATTGATATCCCAGAAGTAATGAGCTTTTAATTGCCCTAAGAGTATCACTGTATTCTTCACCAGCTAGCCAACTGAATTGCCCTTGCATGGCCAGCCTGCAGATGTTACCAGGATATTGAAAGGCTGATAAGTTAGATAAATATATATATATATGCTTGGATCATCAAGTTCACCTCTATATTTAGACACAAATTTGTTCTCAATGCCACCCTGCTGTTAAGCACGCCATTATAAAGCGTGCAGCCATTTTTTCCCACGAGATTGTCGACGAACTCGCCGACGAGCTCGTTGACGAACTCGTTGACGAACTCGCCGACGAACTCGTTGACGAACTCGCCAACGAGCTCGCCAACGAGCTTATCGGCCAGTGACGAGCGTGAATAT